CCGCCCCCAGCTTCTGAGGGCCTCAGGCTTCTTCCTGCCCAGACCCCAAGGGTCCAATGAGCCCCTCTTACCACCTCCAGGTGCTGGATTTGGGGTCTGTCTGGCTTAGGCCTCAGCCTGTTGCCACTGATATGGTTGCCCCCTCCCCTGCCACCCTCTCATGTCCTTTCTCCTTTATCTTGAAGGTCCCCTTTGGGGAGGTAGACTCACTGCTCGACGGGGCCTCCTCCATCTCTTCCTCCAGCTCCAGGAGTGGCTCTGGCTCTTTGGGGTCCTCTTCAGCTGAAGGGCAGACAAGTAAAGTCACCAACCATCCCTGAAGGATCCCTCCCCCAGCTCCCCCAGCCTCAGGGGCAAACCTGGCAGTAGGAGAAAATACAAACAGGGCTAGGGCACAGTGAATAAATACCAAGTGAAGGAGGAGGAAAACTGAAAATGGAAGGCAGAAGGGGACCGATTACTTAAAACTATTATAAGGAAATGAAACGAATCTCCCTAGGTGACAACCCTCCTTACCACTTTACCTCCCGGTACTCAGTGTGCACATCTGTAAAAAGGGGAGGGGGAGGCAGGAGGTGGTCCCTTCTGGATTGAAAACTCTGATTTGGTTATGACTTTTCTTTAATGTAAGTTGATAGGTAGATAGGCTTGACATTCTCCAAAGGACAAGGCCCTTACTTAGGAACATGCCATACCTATCCTAAGTCCCCATCGGAGTCGTGGAGGGTAACTCCTCCCAGGGCCTCCAGGAGTAAGGACTGTTTCCTGAGAAACCAGCTTCCCTTCTTTCTTCGCAACACTTGACAATGGCCACTAAGGCTCTGTCTGGGGGAGGGTGTGTTCAGAAAAGCGCATTCCTGTTGCTGCTCCATTCCCTTGGCCTGCAAGATGAGTGACTGCAGCCTCTGCCCTGGGCTGAGCTGGGTGAGGGGGAGGGGGAGGAAGAGGAGGAGTGTTCCCGGAGACTCTGAGCTCCTCTCTCATCACACAGTGGAATAATTTCCTCCAAAGAAACAACGCTATTACAAAGTGATTCAGAATCTATTAGTGAGTTCACTGGATAATATTGTGTTGTTACCATTAGAACCACCAGTCGGGTTATTCATTTAGTCAACAGGAATCTTCTGACCACCTACCCTGTGCCTGGCTGTGTCCTGAGTGCTGACAACTCACAGGGTTCTTAACTCAGTTACATTTTATGCTAATAGATTTTTGTGAGCTGATCTGGAGTCTCAACCACCATTTATAATATTTTGAGTTGCAAATCAGAGAGTTAGAGATTAAATGGCTCCTGAGCTGAGTATTGTCTCCTGACTAGAAATGCCAGCCTGATGGTCTAAGGTGAACAGACCTTCCTGTGTCTGCTGAATGGGGCACAGAGGCAGCAGAAAGGGGGTAGGCTCTGGCTCCGACAGCAAGCGCTGTGCCTGGTTCTCCCTACCTGCTCCTGATCAGCAGAACCACTAGCATATACAGTGTTTTTGTATGGATTCAATAAAGGTCCCTTCTGGGTGAAAGCAGCTCTGTGGGCACATGGGTGGGTCAGCAGACACCACCTTTGGGCAAATTATGAGAAGGCACTCCTTTCTTTCAGCAGGCACAGGTCTGTCTCAAGGCACATGGCTTAGCAAGAAGGATACAGATTGAGTTTGGGTCCAACTCCCCAGGTGCCCTTGTGCAGCGCACACAATCTGCACAATCATATGCAGTGGTCGTGCTGGCCATGATTTACCATGGCTCCAGTAATCATGTTTTCCAAATTGGGAATCAGGACATATGGTTTGACAGTGAACTTAGCAAGGCTTTGCATCATAAAGCAGGTCGTTTATCTGGAAGTCTGAAACATTGGCAGCATGCAAACAAGGTGATTATTCAAAATATCTTTTTTAAATGATTCACTTAAGACCATGCCATTGAAGTAGCAGAAAAACGACTGGCTTTTGAGGGCAGGGCATGTCCCCTTTAATCACTGGGCTGGCAATGACAAGTTGGAAATGGTGCGGCCCCTGGGTCTACTCACGGCAGGAAGAGTGGTGTGCACTGTGACAGTCACTGTGACGCCGCACAGTCCTGGGGGCGTGCACGTTGGAAAAGTTTGCTGCCATTTTTTATACTTTTGCGATTAAAAGTGTTGCATAACAATTGGTATTGGAATACATAATAAAATAACATTTTTATCATTTTTCTTTTTTGGGGAATTACTTAAACTTTCAAGATACTGTTAATCCTGATAGTTCAGGCAGATATTCCAGGTAAATGACATCTATTTTATTTTAAGTTGGGGTTTTATACTGGGATAAGTGGTGGCCAAATCTCTGACCCCTGCTGTGTCCCTAAGTATCCTCATCACAGGCCATCTGAGCACCAGCATCAGTCCTTAGCCCCGCTCTAGACTGTTGGCCATCCAAGCCAGCTGCCCCTCGGGCAGGCTTGGTGTAGACAAGGCTCATCCTGCTGTGCTTTCCAGACCCTTCACCCCCCAAGGAGCCTCACCAGTACACAGGTGCTCGTAGTCTTCACAGCAGTCCCCGTGCCGGGGACACCGGCGGTCACACTGGCAGGGAGCATCACGGTTAAATTTCTCATGACAGCGAGACGCACATGACTCCGTTTTTCCTACGGGCGGTAAAGGTCACAGGCTCAGCGCTGTGAGGGTCCTGTCCTCCTCATCAAGGTACCCCAAGCTGGAGGGTTCACAGACAAGGGCAGGGGCCCCAGCTGGCAGGGAAGATCATTGCTGTCTTCAAGGGAGAAGCACATCCACAGTCTCCACGCACAACATAAACCTCCCTCTGCCCACTGCCCACCACCCACCGCCACCGAATACTGCAGGGCTCATAATATAGGCCAGGGTCACCCACTCGAATGCCCACTGGGGCTAGACCCGGAACGTGAGAGCAAGAGGGGAGCAGCAGGAAGAGAGCGGTGGGGACTGTAACAAACTTGAGAGCAATGCCCCGCCTGAAACTGGCGGCCGCCATCAGCTCTAGCCACTTGCCACCGTGTTGGGACACAGGCTCAGTGTTGCCACAACCTCTTCAAAAGAAGCCTTCATTTTTCTGTGAAATTTTCACAAAATTCAGAGACCACTATTCACCTGTCCTGTAGATGAAGGCGATCCCACCTGCCCTCTCCCCTCTGACCCATCCCCTTCCTCTCATTCTGTCCCATCTGTTTTCTGCTTCTTTGTTCTTCCCTCCCCTTCACCTGGTCTTCTCTGCAAGCTGCTCCCCCCACATCGCAGCTTTCTGTTCCTTGGATCTTTGGAATGTTTTCAGATTAGTTTATCTCAGGGTGGGGAGTGAGGCTGGTGTGGGTGAGAATTGGCCTTTGGAATAAGATCTGTTATGTAACCACAGACCACATCTCTTACTCCAGCCAAACGGCTTGCAGAAACAAGCTTTTGGTCGCAGGGGCATAAGACAAGAAATTTTAAAAGAAATAGTACAAACCCACTACCACTCCTTAAAAAACAAGCCCCACCACGCCCACCACAGCAAAGCCAGTGGAGGGTGCAAGCCGGGTGAAGCTGGCTGTGGGGCCCTTCCTTCCACTCTGGGCTTTATGGGCGATAACAGAGCCTTTCTTTCCATTTGAGGTTCCTGAGGTTTGGATTTAGTGAGCGCTGGGGTTAGGGTCAGGCTGTGGGTTATGAAGAATGTAAAGATCAGAGTCAGAGTTATTGTCAGCACCGGAATTTGTGTGAATGAGGAAACTGAAACCTAATTTGGGCCAGGGTTGAGGTTAGTTAGGTTTAGATTAAGAACTACAGTTAGGATTTGGGCTCGAGTTAAATTTATTGATAAAGTAACAATTTTGTATTCATGTTTGGGTAAAGAATGGGGATAAGTTTAAGACCACATTCAGGGTTGCGGAATGTGTCAGCATTAAGAGAGGAGAAATTAGCTCAGTTTTGCCTTAGATTAGATTTGGAATTTGGTTCTAATTATGATTCCATGCAGGTATAGCATCTCAGTTTAGCCTGGTTTGGGGTAGAGGTAAATATTAGGGATATGGCTTTAGTTACTGCTTTGGATTCTGGGATTAGGGTTTATACTATGCTAAGGAGGCTGACATAGCAGGGAGGTCAGGAACCCAGACTCTGGCACCAAACTGCTTGGGGCTGGAATTCTGGTCCTGCTGCTTTGTAGCTATGTGATCGTGGGCAGGTTGTTTGACTTTCTGTGCCTCAATTTCCTTATCTGTAAAAGTGTAATAACAATGGAACCCATCTCATAGAATATTTATAAGAATTAAATGAGTTAATATTTGTAAAGCAATTAGTACAGTGCACATCAGAGTAGCACCATGTGTTTTCTAGATAAATAAACAGTGACAATATTTTATGCCCGTCTTAAGGAGACAAGAATTCAGCCTGGCTGAGGCAGACATCCCTCCCCGTCCCTGTCCCCATCGACATGCTTATCTGGCTGTCTCCCGCCCTCGGTTTCAGGTAGGCCTTCCCATGGGCTGGGGTTTCAGCACATGTGTGTTGCTGAAAGTTCCCTAGCTGATATTACCACTATAGGTCTGTTTTCTTTACATCAAAGAGGTGTCAGGTCAAGGTTAATCAGATCCTGAGGCAACTTCACATTGTGTACAGGCCTCCAGTGTGGCCAGGAAGCCAGGCCTCTGATCCAGTCAATTGTCCCTAAAAAAGACCAGGCCCAAGGCCCCTGTCCCTTCAGGCCCAGGGGAACTCCTCTTGAATCTTAAATGATGCTCCCTTAGAACCTGAATGCAAGGACCTTAAGGAGAAATGTTCAGCCCAGGAGGAAGGCTCTGTCAGCTGCCTGCCCGGTCAGCCTGGCAGTACACCCAGAATTCAAAGGGAGAGAATTCAGACAAAACAGGGCAGCGTCTTTAATGGGCCAGATCAGCAGAGTCCAAGGGAGGAATTCACTTCATTCCAGCAGCTGGCACCAGTTGAAACGGGCTGCCAGTGAATAGGCAGCTCTGTGGTGCTCAGGAGAACACCCCCACTGGCCCAAGCTGAGTGGACTTCTTCACTTCTGTTCGAGAGCTTTGTCCCCAGTAAGAAGCCTGGGCCAGGGATCCTTCACACTTCCCTGTAAACTTGGTGGGTTTCAAGGTGACTTTGGGATTTGAGGTTGGAGGGGAGGGGTAGGAGGGACTTTTCCTCATAGGCATCTCACTGTGCTGTTCTGGGGACACTCAGATAACTAGTCACCTTGACTACTCACACTAGTGCACCACCTGATACCTACTGTTTGCACAAATGCTCTGCGTATGCCTTACTCACCAGCCAGGTACCTGAATCACTGCTCCAGCCACCACCTGCCCTCATCCCTCTGCCCATCTCTGACTCTGCCTTTCTTCACTTTGGCCTTTCTTATCTTAAACTCAGATTCTCCCTCCATTCTCCATGAAGAGCTTAGCCATGACACCCCCCTCCCCCAATGAAATACTAAATTTCTCTGCACCCTCCAAGATGTCAATATGCTAGAATGCTCATTCCTTATCCATACTGCCCACCAAGAGAGCCTGGGTGTCCCCATATGCCAGTGTTGAGCCCCTCTGATGGTTGGGGCATCCTACATCTGTGCCTCTCTAGGGGCCAGATGTTGTTTCCATGGAGACCTAGTCAACCAAGAAAATCACTTCCAGGACCAGCTTCCTGCCTCAGCCAATGACTCCCCCATATGATTCATATTCTTGTTCCAAAGTTCTGAGATGTTGAAATAGGATAGACAAAAGCAGAACTCTTCCCTCCCACCTTAGGAAAGAAGGAGGCATCATCCACTCGATCCTCACTTCCCCATCAACCCCGCAGCCAGGTCAGGTCACCTCCCCAGGGCCAGGGCTCCACCTGCATGTCTGAAATCACTGTTGCCTCTGACCTCAGGGATGTGCCCCCTCTCCCCCACAGGAGCCAAAAGTCTTGAGTTGCTGTCCTCTCCTGATACTGGGATGTACCAATCTGGCGGCCACTCCTTCACACTAAGCTGGAAGTTTCCATGTCCTCCTTCACTCTCTGCCAGCCAGGGCCCAGTCGGAGCTGATTCCCTGCTGCTCTGCAGTGAGCACCACAGTGGAGGTACATGATCCCACCCAGGGCTGGGAGGCCTGGGAACAGCTTTCCCTCCAAAGGCTTTCTGCTTGGGAATCCCGTGAGGGGTCTCTTTATCTACAACCTACTTGGAAATGACTCCAAGAGTAAGTTTCTCCCAGGAATATTCATAATCATAGTCAAAGCCCCAATTCACTGAGATATCACCCCACAGAGAGTGCTTTTAATACATGATCTTATTTAGTCCTTACAGCAGTCCCATTCAGGAACCACCTGGGTCGGGTGGCATGGTTATCAAGCTCTGATTCTGTCTCCTCCAGGCAGACATGGATTCTCCCCATACACCTCAGCTCAGCCCCGGAGCTTGGCACTCGTTTTTCACTCACTCATTAATCACAATTAGCACACCGGCAACATCAGTGTTTGCATAGCTACTAAACAGGAAAGTGCTCCTGTTCCTCGGCTGGTCCCATCCCATCCCCTGCACTGCTAGTAGCTGTGGGCCAGGACCCTTCTCTATGTGTTAATGCCTCTAACACTGGGGCAAGACCAATTCCTCTGACCACTCTTATAGCCCCAGATAGCACACAGCCTACCTCCCAGTCAGGGGCTCTTCCTTTCAGTTTCTCCCTCAGCCTGCCCATCTCCTAAGGCTTTACCCAGAGAAAGGTCCTGCCTCAGACAACCTCACCCATCCCCAGGGAGTAGGAGGAGTAACCAAGGGCAGCCAGGCCATTCAAACCCAGCTGGCCCCAGCCCCAGCTTTATACCCTACAATGACCAGGAAAAACAAAACTTTGGTGAGATCAAAAGTTAGGTTGGACTCAGGGATGTTTGGGGCTAGTCTTCCAAGCTGTCAAGAAGTGGCTCCCATGACATTAGCCCATCAGCCCTGCAACTCCTTTAACACAGTCCACTCCACTCCAGAGGCAGCTCCTGCCCCTCAGACCAGGACCAGCCTAAGGTGCTCCATAAATTTAGGACAGAGATGATCCTCCCTTATCCCACTACTCTCACCTACACCAAGTTCCCCAAATCTCTGCTTCTTTATGTAGGACCATTTTTACCTCCACCAGATAGCAACTTACCAGACCAGGCCAGGCCGCAGAGCATGGCCAGTATCAGGGGCACACAGGCCTTCATGGTGCCCAGTAGGCCAAAATGGGATTGGCCGTCGGACTTCCACTAGAGTCAAGATGAACGTCACAGCTCTCAAATGAGCCTTATTTCCCAGGATGATCCTTTTAAAGACATCGGAACTTGTAGGTCTGGTACCTCCAGATCCTTCCAGAAAAACGGGGGAGGGATCCCAGGTGGATTGGAGGTGGATGGAGGTGGGGTTCTCCAGCTGTTTGAAGCCAGAGGGAAGGTGACTAAGCAGGCAGGTACTGCCAGATGTTTAGAACAGGTAATGCTAGCCATTTGTAGCTAGAAAATAGGTCAGACAAGCAGGCACAGCAAGAAGAGCCTATGTTAGGGGATTTTCTGTCCAATTAGGGGCAGCCATGGGCTCATCTTTGGGTGATGCCTTCTAAACATCCACCTACCTACAAGCCACAGGTCTGACTTTTCTACAGGGGAGGGGCCACAGGCTGGCCTCATCTTTGAGTTACTGGTGCTTAGCTTGAGGAATACAGTGAGATGATCATTACCACTTTGACTAACAGTAAGTGCTCAAGCAAGTGTTGGGATTAGTGGGAGGAGAGATATAAGAGGCATGGGTCGGAAACAATGGCTGTTCTTACTACCATCGAGCCGCATGTAGCTACATCACCTTAGAACTATTATGCAAATGGGCCTCTAACTCTTAATGAGTCAGCATCTCAGCTCTTACCTGTTTCAGGTTCTTGTGGGTTCCAGGTTTATGAGGCCGAGGAAGGGCAAGAGGCCTCTTAAAGGCAGCTAAAGGACCCATTCTTCCTCTTCTGGGAGCCCAGGGCCTCAGTCCCTTTACCCCCTACTCACACTCCTCTCCCCTAAAGACCCTCCCCAGAGAGAGATGAGGCCTGTCACTGCTCCTTTCCACCCAAGTCCAAGAACAGGTGTAGCAACTTGGGGCTGCCAAGCTTTCCCCTCCTACTAAAGCTTAAACCTGCTAAGTAAAACGCCCTTCCAGAAAGAGCACTGCATGGCATTCTCAGCCCTCTCAAAAAAGAAAACTCTCAAATAAAAAAGCAAAACTTTTGAACAATTGATACTACTCTACAGGGGTGTGTGTGTGTGTGTGTGTGTGTGTTTTGCAGTCAGGGTGGCATGTCCTTCTCAGCCAGTGTAGTTTAACAGAGAAACACTTTCCCTTTTGTCTTCAGTTTTCTCATCTTTGAAAGAATGGGGTTGGGTCTGACAATCCCTTCTAAGTTCTCAGGCTTTATTTTGATGCTGCCTCCCCATGTCCCGGGCCAACCAGTTGCTGGTGGGTTAAGGAGAACCTCCCGACCCCTTGCTGTGTGGAGATGAGATCGACTATGTCGTGGTCTCAGGAGTGGAGAGGACAGCCTGGGCAGGCCACCTTGAAGAGTAAGCCTGGCTCTGTTCTTAGGAAGGAAGCCTGTTAAAGGGAGTAGGAGCAGAAATGGCTGCTTTGTTTGCATAAGTTTCATTTGCACAACCTGAAAGAGGGCTGCTGAGCTGCTGACAGCCGGACTACTCATTCCCCCTAGATTACAGCGCATGAACAAAGCTCAGATGCCGGTTAGTTTAGGGTTTTAACAAAGGAGCGTGTCACTGGCTGGGCCAGGAAGTAATGACACCTCAGAATCTGGGATTGGATGGTCTGTCCCTTCCAAAGGCCCTCTGGGTAGATGGACCCGGGCTGAGGCCCAAGCTATCAGAGTGGGAGTGGGTTCTGGCCAGCATCACCCTGATGTCCAACTGAACTGACTGTGGGATGGAGCTTCGGGGGTGGGTGCACTGCCCTCTATTAGGTGAATTTTAGATCAGGAACAAGGCTGAAAGCTGGACAGACAGTTAGATTGACCCCGTAGGGCTAGATGGGTCATCTGAAGAACAGTGTGTTTTAGGCTGGGTCCTCCAAGAACTAAAATATCAACTAAACAACCACCATCAACAGCGATGGGGCACTTACCGCATGTCACAACCCAAGAGCTTGCTCTGTGCTCTCGACTTCATTCTCACTACAACCCTTATCAGGTACTCTTGTCATCCTTGTTTTACAGATGAGGAAACTGAGGCACAGAAAGGTTGGAAGATGTGCCCAGGAGCACACAATTATTATGTCATGCAGTCAAGTCTCTGACCGGAGTCCCCCATGGTGAGCACCAATTCACCACATTGCTCCACGTTGCTCCCAAACATCACACCTTCAAAACACAGCAGCAACCATTTCTCTGTCTGCATTACTATGCAAAGTGGTCTGGAATCAGATTCACTGGAATTTCCTCAGAAGTCACCTAGTTTCACTTCTCATTTGATGGTGCAACACCCTAAACAATCCTAAGTGGTTGTTCTGCCTCCATTTGAATACTTGTGAGGCTAAGGGATCCCACCCTCTTAGAGCTGCTCGTCACCCCTTCTCAGGTCTTATTCCCAAACCCCAGCATTTTGCAACCCAAGACATGCTGACGCCGATGAAAGTAGATAGAAGAGTAGGGAAAAAAGTCCATTCAGCCAATACATGTGAATACATACACACATTCATGCAAAGATGCCTCGCAGATAACTTAGATGCACATATACAGGGTGTCCCCCAAAAATGTATACACACTTTGAATGATTATAAAGTCAGTATTTATTAATGTAGAGCTCATTTTCAAAATTGAAAAAAATCTAGAGAAATGAATAATTTATTTTGTCAATGCCTGTTTTCAAACTGATGATGACTCTTCTGGTCCAGGCACTGCTGATAATACAAAGCAATGGAATTGAAAACATCAAGAATCATTTCGGCATGGCTGGCATGGCTCAGTAGTTGAGTGTCAACCTCTAAACCAGGAGATCATGGTTTGATTCTAGGTCAGGGCACATGCCCAGGTTTCAGGCTCGATCCCCAGTAAGGGGCGTGCAGGAGGCAGCCAATCAATGACTCTCATCATTGGTGTTTCTGTCTCTCCCTTCCTTTCTCTGAAATCAATAAAAACATATTTTTTTTAAAAAAGAATCATTTCCTTCGGTATTTGTGTGCCCTCAATTGGTCAACTGTTGCTGTTTTGTAGTGTAAACTTTATCTTTTATAAAAAAGTCTAGTGGCCCTTTAGGATAAACTTTCTTTGTTCAAAGCTTAGTCTGGCTTCACCCATTATTTCAAATCAGTTAAACCTGAAAATTAAGTGCAATTATCAGCCGTTGAAGTGTGCATACATTTTTTTTGAGACACCCTATATATATATACTGGAGTAGGTAAAAACAAGTAGGTTTATAGTTGTGAGTAGGTGAAATCCACAGTTTATTCTTGTGTTATCATTTATTAACCTGTATGTCTTTTCCATATGAACAACTGTAAACCTGCCTTTGCCCACCCCTGCACATATGGAGAGGCGGACACATTACATTGTATTACAGGCAGCTTCTCTTCCCAGCCAATCTAGTCTGGACAGAAAACTCTGCTGCTCATCCTTCGAAGTTCTCCCTCAGTTAGGTCCTCACATCCACTTTCCACCTTGATTGGAAGCTCTTCCAAGGAGCCACTGTGGGAGGCAGCCAGCAAGGTGAGTCCCAGGAGGCGAGGTCCCCGACACCTGGGGAGGGAGAGGGTGGCGAGAAGTGCATGGAGGTGGCTGCCCACGATGAGAATATCGAGAGAGATGCCTCCTCCAAACCAGAAAGTGAGGAGAGGCTGCAGCTGCAGCCTCTGTGGAGGGCTGGAGGGTGGGGAAGAGGTGAAGCTGCCTGGGCAAGGCTGCAGGAAGCAGGCAGCTGTCGGCGACGAGGGGAATGGGAATCCACCGGTAGATGTTTACTGGGTGCTCCCTATATGCCTGGTCTATGCTGTTACTGGACTGGTGGGGTTCAGGCTGGGCTGGAAAGCTATTCTTGGAACTGATTGGTTTCTGGTGGGACAGAGGACAGTGAAGCCCCAGCATTTGGCTGCTGTTGGAAGTAGACCCCACTCACCTCTGGGCTACCAAAGTGGTCAGGGATCTGTCAGGACCAACAGGCTGTGGGAGAGACTGACACAGGGGACATACACCCAGGCCAGCCTATTTCACCACCCTTGTCCTCTGTAAATCCGGGACCTAGTCACTGTAGCACAGGACCAGAGACTGAATGGACCCTGCATCTGGCACAGCTCAGGTGAGGCCTGGAGTCACCTCCCACGGGAACCCAGGCACCTGAAGATGCTGGGTCTCCAGCATCCATCCCACTGTGGCATGTGAGTGCCCAGGACAGAGGCCCAGGACAGTCACCCACATCTGATTATTTGTGAACCACATCAGTTTGCCGTGTCCTCTTACTCAATGAGTCTTAGAAAGTTTCCATGTGTGATTTTCTCCCACACTGGTTTGTATACTGTGGACTGCATGTGGGTTTCCAGGCCTTTCTTTTCAGGTTTGTGGGCAGCCCTGACATTCAGCATCACACTCATGGCCAGCCCTGGGCATATTAGTCAGACGTGCAGCAGAGCCATTCATCACAGAGTCCCGGGGTGTGCTTCTGGTTCTGCTGGCCAAGCCCCATGCCAGTGCTGTGCCTGGAATGCCCTCCCACCACCAGCCTGCTGTCTGGCTGTCCGTCTGCTACTCATCCCCCAGCCTCAGGGCAAATCCACCCTTCCACAAAGCCAGGCTTCCTCCCTCCAGCCCATGGACTCAATTCTTGATATTTGTCCTGTGTGCGCCTTTGACACATCACACCCACCTCTGATAGGTGTTGCCGCGGACATGCTGTCGGTTAACCCCTGCACTGCCATCTAAATTTTCATCCACACAGGTGTTTCTTCAGCTCGCCTCTGAAATTCCTTGAGACTGATACCCTGCCTCGTGGTCCCTTCTACTGTTTCGTTGTCATCCAACGTGTGTTAGATTACCGTCAACATGTGCCTGGGACCAGGAATGAATGAATCAACGAATGAACGAACGAACAAACTGAGCCTTCCAGCCCCACTTGTTATAAAGGGAAGATCATGAGCAAGGGGGAGAGAGTTGGTGGATCGCTCTATGAGATCTGGAGGCTCCAGAATTTGTTCATGAGGGGAGGGGAACCTCAAGGGCAGTGGGTGTAATGGGGTCTAGGGATTCATGTGTTTCCACAGCAAACACATTATTTTTAGCTATATTATATGTTTATTTGAGCCTAATGGAAACTTCGAGGGACCTACCCCCCCATGCCACCCCTTGGCA